TGTTGCGGCTGGTCAGTGCGTGTCGTGCGGTGGCGCACACACGGTGGCGCAGGGGGCGGGGGGGGGGTGTAGTACCTTGACAGTGCCGGGGCCGTCGGGGTTGAAGGTGAAGTAGCTGAGCCAGACGCTGTCGATCGAGGTGACCGGGGTGCACACGCTGGCGCCGGCGTCGGTCCACGCGGTGCCGTTGCCGGTGGTGATGGGCGAGCCCTTGGAGATGGCGACGGGGACGTGCACGGCCTGAACGTCGTCGCACCAGTCGCTCTCGACCACAACTCCGACGACGGCGGACGTCACCACCGCGAGCACCACCAGACAGACCAGCAGAGTCAGGCGAAGGAACGACATGTTGTTGTGTTGGCGTTGTCAAAGTAAAGAAAGAATGAAAGAAATAAGATAACAGCGTGTTGCGGACATTCGGGGGGAAGAAAATCTCCTTGCCACTATTCTCCTATTGAGTGTTCGGGGCTTTGTTTGTTCCAATAATTCCCCAGTGGATGGGTCTATATTACCGCTCCCGTGGTCGCAGGCCTTGTGTTGCTGTTTTTGTAGAGCTGGCACAGAAGCTTGTGGTCGGGGATGTGCCACCCGCCACCAGCGCTTGCGTGCAGCTTGCCCAACACGACAGACTCGGCCAAGAGCTGAAACGCCTCGCGCACTGCACCCACACTGGTCAGCTGCTGCTCCACCGCGAGAGCACGAAAGAGAAAGTATGCCGCACCTCCTCTTCCGGTCAAGCTGCTGGTCTCGGCCCAGAGTGTACCGAGCTCTAGAGCCAGGGCCTGGCCTTCCGCAGCCGTCACCTGCCTGCAATCCTCCAGATCCGACTTGGCTCCGACTGTGATTATGCTCAGTTCAACGCACACGCGCACCCGCACTCAGTTGATGGAGGCCCTGGGCTAAACTTGAACATTGACCGAGTACCGAGTATCACGCTGGGCGGTTCCGCGTCAGGGTCGCGACCGATGGAGCTCCACCCACGGCTGGACCTGGCCGAACGAAGCCAAGTTGGTTATGTCGTCGACCACTACCGCGTCGGCTCCTTTGCAGAAGGCCCGCGTTACCGCGCGATAGCGCTCCTGTGCGCTGCAGTCCCACACTACCGCCAGTCAACAGTCCAACATTGACGCGCCGAGACTTGCGGTCAACCAAAGTCAATGCTAGCATGAGTTGACCATGACATGGACGTACGATGGAGGGTGAGGGGCAGTCCCTCGATCTGGAGAGTCTGAACCCGGTATGGAATGTGCAACGTTGTTGGCGGTTGGTAGGGCACATACCGATCACCAGTGAGACGGCGGTGGAGCGTGCTCTTGCCCACACCTGTTTCCACCGAAATCAGTCGCTCAATCCTCTCGAACGGGCCACCACCTTCACAACAGAGAAAGTGTGAGCAGTCCCCGCGTGAACAACATTCCGGCGTCACTGCAGCGAAGTGAGCAGAGGCGTACGTGTAGCGACCACACCGACGAAGCCGCTGGCAGCCACCGCACGACGCCGTCACTCATCCACCCCTGCTGCCACCTCCGTCAGTCGCTTCCATTGTCAGCACAAGCTCAGCACTCAGTTCTTCGTACCACAGGCCTCCTTGAAGGGGGGGGGTCAGTAGCAGATGGTAGCGGCCAGCAGCGGCCAACCTTCAACGTTGCTCTCTACTCCTTCAGCCAAGCGGCAGTCAGCCAGCGTTGGTGGTGCAGCTTCTTCGTGTTGTCTTTCTTTTTCAGAAGCGGAGGACAGAAGTGCACAACTTCTTCGCACTTCTGACAGTTCCATTGGTGGTGGCCATCGCACCGAAGAGGTAAGTGGCGAAAGAAAGAATGTAGTGTGATCAAGAGGGAGGGCAAAAATTCCACGAATAGCATCAGTTGGTGGTGGTGGGCTTGCCGTAGCCGCCGGCGCCGGGGGTGATGATGCGCAGGCGGTCGCCGACG